CAAGGGCCATGGAAGTTATGAACCAGGACCATGGATGAAAACATATATACACATAATACCACCACAGTACTGATATTCACCTTGAATTAATTTTTGCATATAATATAAGGTAGGCATTATCAACCAAACAAGCAAATACATTGATTTTATTCAGGCTATTGCAATAGGGAGAGCACCCCACATCCAAAGATTAAGGTGCTTGGCAAGATGCTTTTACCTTATAGTTTATAGGGAGGAGTAGACTTGTTTTAAATGGAATGATTTTTAGTTGGGATTGTTTTTGTAAACAGGGACATCTCCGTCATCTGCACAGAAAATGTTTATCTCTCTGTCTAGCTAGTTTGGGATTGAGGGGGGCATGTGGTAGACTAATAGCTCTAATTTCAGCTAATGATTCACAAGATAAATGACAGGAAGTGGGAGACTCTGGTCTTGCCAGCAGGTTCAGGCAAAAATGAAAAGGCTGTGTTTGGCCTTGTCACAGGTAAACAAGGTAGGGAGGTCATCGGTGAGTGAGTCTTACAGTAGGTATGAGAAAAAGTAGACAGAAAGTAATGTACGTCATATGGGAAGGATGGTTCATTGTGTAAGCCACTTCCCAGGGCACAAAAGAGTAAGGAGATTTAGGAAAACAAAACGTTGTGGAATTTCTTAACTCCAAGATCTTGATCTCCATGGGTAAAATTGTCAGTTCAGATTGAAATTCTGTCTGGGAAGTCAGTTGGAAGCAGAGTTACCCTTTCGTCTACCAGATCATGATACATTGTTGAATAATAATTTGTGAAGACAAATGACTGTGTAGTAGCATTTAAGACTAGGCATGATGTACTGCCCAACTGCAAGGTATAAGACTACAAACAGGAAAATTATTAGTGTATTAGGCCATTCTTTCATTGCTATAAAGAAATACCGAAGACTGGGTAATATATAAAGAAAAGAGGTTTAATTGGCTCACGGTTCTTCAGCCTTTACAGGAAGCATGGTACTGGTACCTGCTCAGTTTCTAGGGAAGCCTCAGGAAGCTTACAATCGTGGTGGAAGACGAAGGGGAAGCAGGCACGTTACATGGTGAAAGCGGAAGCAAGAGAGAGAGGGAGAGAGAGAGAGAGAATGGGTGGGGGAGGTACCACATATTTTTAAACAATCAGATCTTATGGGGATTCAAAGCGAGAGCTCACTTAACACTACCGGGACAGACAGCACAAGTCATTCATGAGGGATCCACCCCCATGATCCAAATACCTCCCACCAGGCCCCACCTCCAACACTGGGGCTCACACTTCAACATGAGATTTGGGCAAGGACAAATATCCAAACTATGTCAATTAGTAATGTTTGTAATACAGCTCAAAACCAGGATCTTCTATTTCCAAATCTTGCTCAGTAGAACATGTCTCAGGCTATTTGAATCTACCTTAGAAAGCCAACTAGCCTTTTCCTTGAGTTTAGTAACTAAGCATTCACTTGTCCTGTTGTGTTTATTCAATTGCAACAAGAGATTTTGGCCATGGCACCAATACCTCCCTGTCTAGTTAGAAGGAAGTTGAAAGTTATAGGATTGGCCTAACAATTTGGGCCTGTGCGTTTAAACTTACTTTCTGTGCTTCTAGGGCCAAAGCGGTAAAATCTTCTTCTTCTACAAAGGTTAAGGAGAGGCTTGAACTACCTTTTCTTTTCTTTTTTTTTTTTTGAACTACCCTTTTTAACTGTATTAATGCCATAGTGGGTGTTAGGGGCTCTCATGGTGCATATGAAAAGAGAATCATTGATATCCCTAGGAGGTTTTCCCCAATTCCCTGTAGTTGCCACAATTTGGAGGTAATTCCAGAGGGACACACCGTTGACAGGTGGGATAGCCGCTTTAAATATTTTGAAGTCCCAGACAATCAGTCCAAATGCCCTTGGGGAAAGCATGAAAAGTGGTATCCTATGGGGAAACAGGTGGGGTCTGAGGTATAGTAATTATTAGCAATTACTGGGATTAACAACTGGGTGGATCCCTCAGGAGAGCAGAGTCTTTGTGTGGAACTGAATGCAGTTTGTAAGGCTGGTTGGGAAGTGGTGGAAGAGAAAATGGTTAACATTAGAGAATAAAAGTACTCCTACATTTTTTCCTACACTTGATCCTGAGAAAGTGGAGCCATTCAGTTTGGAGATTTCAAGAGACTCATTAATCATGTTTGGAATTAAGTTTCATTTAGTACATGCTGAGAAATTAGGGATAATAGAAGAGTCAAGGGCCATAAGGCATGAGACTCTGGGCAGGTTGAGTTCCCTAAGGAGTTTGGCTAGTTTGAATATAAGAGTACCATTGGCCTGCTTGTTTCATTTTTCCAGAGGACTGGTAAGAAGACTCAGTTTTTGTAACATTGGAAGTACTTGTTGAAGATCCTGAATAACCTTACTACTGAAGTGAGTTCCTCCACTGTTATTAAAAAAACAAAGAGATCCCTAAAAGGGGAATATTCTTTCTGGTCTCAGCTTAACTTCAGTGGTGATGGTAGCTTGTTTACAGAGAAAAGCTTTTAACCATGCTGAAAACATGCCAACTATGGTTAGGACATTTTTGTACCCATGAGACTTTGCGAGTTTATACATTTTCCAATGAAAACAAGGACTAGAGAGAGTTGACTCTCATCCTTGTCCCACTTTACATGTTGACTAGGATTGTGTTTCTGGCAGATGGGGCAAGTTGAAGTTAACGGCTCAATATTAGGGCATCTCGAACAATATTTGTGGAGATCCTTAAGATTTTCTTTGCCATAATGTGTAACCTCATGGAGGCTGCAGAATAAATTTTAGGTGAGGGACCGAGAGAAATCAAACAGTTGTCTAGGTGTCTCCAAAGCCCATCTGAGTAGATAAAACATCCAGCTTGTTGCTTTTTTGCTTTTTCAGCCTCAGGTGCTAGCAGCTGTTACATCTTAAGTTTCTTAAGAGTTTCTATCTTTAGAGTAGGTTAAGCAAGGAGAAGTATACATGTGATTCAGGGGATATCTTCTTGGGAAGCAGAAACCTTAGCATATTTTCAGCCAGTTAAGTTTCCTTTAGCTTTGTTAGTCTAGCCACTAGTGTGAGCTTTGATTTTTGAGAACAGCTAATTTCTGGATAGCTGTAAAGACTTAAATAGGAGGGCCGGGTGCGGTGGCTCACGCTTGTAATCCCAGCACTTTGGGAGGCCGAGGCGGGTGGATTACCTGAGGTCAGGAGTTTTGAGACCAGCCTGGCCAACATGGCGAAACCCCATCTCAACCAGAAGTACAAAAAAAAAAAAAATTAGCCGGGCATGTTGGTGGGCACCCGTAATCCCAGCTACTCAGGAGGCTGAGGCAGGAGAATTGCTTGAACCCGGGAGGCAGAGGTTGCAGTGAGCCAAGATCAAGCCACTGCACTCCAGCCTGGGCAACAAGGGCGAGACTCCATCTCAAAAAAAAAAAAAAAAGATGTAAATAGGTTAGTGAGTTGGGTTCTGATCGGTACTCCTCAGTTGTCATAAACCTCTTTCTTTCCATAGCATACCAAAATCATGTACAATTCCAAAAGTAAACTGGCTGTCTGTATAAATGTTAGTTCCCTTATCTTGTGCTAACATGCAAGTTTGGGTGAGTGCTTAAGAATTCAATGATTTGGGCCACGTTAACTTAGGTGGCGATTTCAACTTAACAGGCTGTTGAAAATCTGCAATAGTGTATCCTGCTTAAAATTCCCCATTTGTACTCCTGAAGTAAGAACCATCTACAAAGAAGGTGATATCAAGGTCTCTGAGAGGAGTTCTGGTGATGTCAGAGTGAGGAAATGTGAATGACTGTGTGACGGTGATACAGTCACAAGGTTGTCCTTCAGAGGGAATGGGAAGAAAAGTGGCCTGATTGTTTTGACTACAGTGGACAGTGATGTGAGAGGAAGACAGTGGCAGGGTTTCACAGGAGGTGAGTCCAAAGTGGAAACGTGTTAGGTGTTCTCAGTGACTTCTAATGTCTGAACTACATGGGGTAAGTAAAGGTTGAGTGAATGACTAAAAATAAAGTCAGTTCTGATGGAGCAGCAACTTCATACAAGCAAGGGGAGAAATGCTTGAGCCTCTGGGTCTAAAAGGATGCTAAATTACCAACCAGGCCTCTGGCTTCCCTTGTGTTTTGGGGTGAGGACCCCTAAAGCATGTCTCTTCTTTTATGTAAAAAAGGGAAAGGGGTACTGAATATTGGAGAGACCAAGTGGGAAAAGTGGCTAGAGAGGACTTCAGATTTTGAAATGCAGATATGGAAGGAAAGTCTCAAAGTAAGGTGATTGGAGGTGGTTTCCTTTTAGTCATGGCAAGTAAGGACAGGCAATTGTGAAAAAACCAGGGATCTAATTCCAGCAACAGCCAACCAATCCTACAAACCCTGAGTTAATTTTTGGTATCAGGGAGAGGCATAGTGAGTAAAAAAAAAAATAAAAAAAATTCACTTCTACTGGATGCATACACTAATACAAGGTGTTAATAATAATAAGGGAACTGTGAAGTGGGGAGAGATATATGGAAGTTCCCTGTCCCTGCTGCTCAATTTGTCTGTAAACCTAAAAATAAAATCTAATTTACACACACACACACACACACACACACACACACCCCTAAAAAGGGATCTCTGCTGCAATTTGCAAGGTTTTCTGTTTTCGGGGGTTTTTGTTTTCCTACAGGCTCATAATTTCAAATTAGTGATGCTTCCTTTTTTTTCTATATATATAAAGGCTGGAAGAAAACTTGTCGAACCTTTATATTCTAAGAACTGAGTAATTATTCTACAAACCAACAAATATTAACAGCGTCCTATAACCAACTCATTTAATCTTCACACAATCCTATGAAATACTAGTGTTCACATTTTACAAAAGAAGAAACAATTCAAAGAGACAAGTCGAACAATACATACTAGAACGAGGCGACTACTGTGGATTCCAAAACCAAAGTTCCAAACCACAAAATCGAATCTAGGAAAACTGGCGCTCTCGAGTGTCGTCAGCTAAAAAACAAGGAACACCAGAGAAGGATCGCGATATTACACGAACTACTACTCCCAACATGCAAAGCGGAGTCTTTCCCTCGGTATCGGCCTGGGAGTCCGAGAGGCCCAGCAGCCCTCGGGGCGCGAAAGGCAACCTGGGAGCGGTAGTTCTCCTGGGCCCTAGTATTGTCGCCCACGCGGCAGTAGCGGCTTCTACGGCTCCAAGCCAGCGGGTCCTGTGAAGGCGAGCAGACGCGGAGAAAGGACGCGGGAGTGAGAGAGGGTGAGTCAGCTACTGTCTAAACGATAAAGGGAGGCGGCTCCGCAGGGTAGGGCTGAATTCAGTAAATGGGCTCGTGCTGCGGTCTCTTGGGAGACGCTGCTATCTTAGCGTCAGCGAGGGAAGGTTGAGGAGGAGCCAGAGCCGGGTCCGGCAGCCTTTCTCGCCATCAGCGCCCGTCGCCATCTCCACCATGCAGTCCCGGGAAGACGCCCCGCGCTCTCGCCGCCTCGCCAGTCCCCGTGGTGGGAAGCGGCCCAAGAAGATTCACAAACCCACAGTTTCGGCCTTTTTCACGGGTCCAGAGGAATTAAAGGACACGGCCCATTCTGCAGCCCTGCTGGCACAGCTCAAGTCCTTCTACGATGCGCGGCAGCTGTGTGATGTGACCATCGAGGTGGTGACGCCTGGCAGCGGGCCTGGCACGGGTCGCCTCTTCCCCTGCAACCGCAATGTGCTGGCCGCCGCGTGTCCCTACTTCAAGAGCATGTTCACAGGTGGCATGTACGAGAGCCAGCAGACTAGCGTGACCATGCACGATGTGGACGCCGAGTCCTTCGAGGTGTTGGTCGACTACTGCTACACGGGTCGTGTGTCTCTCAGCGAGGCCAACGTGGAGCGCCTGTACGCGGCCTCCGACATGCTGCAACTGGAGTATGTGCGGGAAGCCTGTGCCTCCTTCTTAGCCCGACGTCTTGACCTGACCAACTGCACCGCCATCCTCAAGTTTGCAGACGCCTTTGGCCATCGCAAGCTGCGATCCCAGGCCCAGTCCTATATAGCTCAGAACTTCAAGCAGCTCAGCCACATGGGTTCAATTCGGGAGGAGACTCTAGCAGATCTGACCCTGGCCCAGCTGCTGGCTGTCCTGCGCTTGGATAGTCTGGACGTGGAGAGTGAGCAGACAGTGTGCCACGTGGCAGTGCAGTGGCTGGAGGCTGCTCCCAAAGAGCGGGGTCCCAGTGCTGCAGAAGTCTTCAAGTGCGTGCGCTGGATGCACTTTACTGAAGAAGATCAGGACTACTTAGAAGGGCTGCTGACCAAGCCCATCGTGAAGAAATACTGCCTGGACGTTATTGAAGGGGCCCTGCAGATGCGCTATGGTGACCTGTTGTACAAGTCTCTGGTGCCAGTGCCAAACAGCAGCAGCAGCAGTAGCAGCAGCAACTCTCTTGTATCTGCAGCAGAAAATCCACCCCAGAGACTGGGTATGTGTGCCAAGGAGATGGTGATCTTCTTTGGACACCCCAGAGATCCCTTTCTCTGCTGTGATCCATACTCGGGGGACCTTTACAAAGTGCCGTCACCTTTGACCTGTCTGGCTCACACTAGGACTGTCACCACCTTAGCTGTCTGTATCTCTCCTGACCATGACATCTATCTAGCTGCCCAGCCCAGGACAGACCTCTGGGTGTATAAACCAGCTCAGAACAGTTGGCAGCAACTTGCAGATCGCTTGCTGTGTCGTGAGGGCATGGATGTGGCATATCTCAATGGCTACATCTACATTTTGGGGGGGCGAGACCCTATTACTGGAGTTAAGTTGAAGGAAGTGGAATGCTACAATGTTAAGAGAAACCAGTGGGCATTGGTGGCTCCACTGCCCCATTCTTTTTTATCTTTTGACCTAATGGTAATTCGGGACTATCTCTATGCTCTCAACAGTAAGCGCATGTTCTGTTATGATCCTAGCCATAATATGTGGTTGAAGTGCGTTTCTCTGAAGCGCAATGACTTTCAGGAAGCGTGCGTCTTTAATGAGGAGATCTATTGTATCTGTGACATCCCAGTCATGAAGGTCTACAACCCAGTTAGGGCAGAATGGAGGCAAATGAATAATATTCCCTTGGTCTCAGAGACCAACAACTACCGGATTATCAAGCATGGCCAAAAATTGTTGCTCATCACCTCTCGCACCCCACAGTGGAAAAAGAACCGGGTGACTGTGTATGAATATGATATTAGGGGAGACCAATGGATTAATATAGGTACCACATTAGGCCTCTTGCAGTTTGATTCTAACTTTTTTTGCCTCTCTGCTCGTGTTTATCCTTCCTGCCTTGAACCTGGTCAGAGTTTTCTCACTGAAGAAGAAGAAATACCAAGTGAGTCTAGCACTGAATGGGACTTAGGTGGATTCAGTGAGCCAGACTCTGAGTCAGGAAGTTCAAGTTCTCTTTCTGATGATGATTTTTGGGTGCGTGTAGCGCCTCAGTGAAATGCACAGGATCAGCAGGGTTTGTTGTAACTGAATTGAAACACTGAGTTGTTTTTACTGTTTTGGAAAATATCTTAAATATCCTTTTTGTTCCTAAAGGAAAGGAAAAGTTGATTAGCTGCTGGTTTGGTTTAGAAAAAGTAATATTTGAAATACGAAGGTAATTTAATATTACAAATTTTAACACTCAGATCAACCTTTTAATAATTTTCTGTGCTAAGGGTCCAGTATTTATTTGATTATTTAGTATGTTTATGTTTCATGACACTAATTTAGTCTTTTGATAAATTTTACATTCTGTTTACTGCCACAAGCACTGTGGCAGTAACTTTTGAATTTTAATTTTTATAATAGAAAAATGATTAGGAATTGCTAGATAGTGTTTTGAAAGCTTATCTTTTTCTTCGGAACAATGTAGATTTCCAAAATGGTTAACCTAAGAGGTCTTTGCAAAATGTGTTATAAGTTAAACATAATTTGGGAAGTTTTACTTTTGTTTTCTTCTATGAAGAAAAAAATGCAGGCCGGGCGCGGTGGCTCACGTCTGTAATCCCAGCACTTTGGGAGGCCGAGGCGGGTGGATCACCTGAGGTCACGAGTTCAAGACCAGCCTGACCAACATGGTGAAACCCCATCTCTGCTAAACATACAAAAATTAGCTGGGCCTGGTGTCGTGTGCCTGTAATCCCAGCCACCCAGGAGGCCAAGGCAGGAGAATTGCTGGAACCCGGGAGTCAGAGGCTACAGAGAACCGAGATTGGGCCACTGCACTCCAGCCTGGGTGACAGAGCAAGACTCCGTGTCAAAAAAAAGTATATGTGTGTTAGGGTGACTGAATGGTGATTTCATTTATAATAATACAGAGAATAGCTATAAGCTCATTGACAGTAAAAACAGCAAACCAGGATTCTGCTGTTTGAAAAGAAGTTTCGTTTTAATTTTGGAATTTAGGATGTAGATTTGCAAAGCGACCAATTTTCATCTAAAAAATTATATTCTGGTTGTGTCACCAAATCATCAAAAAACTTTAAAAAAGAAGTAACTTGCTTTGTAGATTTGTATTGTTGATCTAAACCTGATACATGCTTCATTTAATCAGAGGAATAATCCTTTTTTCCGCTGGACATGTATAAATTTCACTGGATTGTATAAATTTTTATCTATTGCCTTAAAAATGTATGTGATTCTCAATATGTTTTAGCTGCACAGTTTTGGTGTTCATCTTAGAGGATTCTTCAGCAGAAGTGATATTTCTTTACTGTTTTGTGAGGTAATACTGATTTTGAAAATATATATAAGCTAAAAACAGTATTTCGTTGATATCAGTAGTCATTGTGTTAACTATAAAGTCAAGTGCCAGCAAAGAACTTTAAAACTATAAAGCTGTGTATAGAACTGTTTTGTGTAGCATGGAAATACTCTGTCAGCTTTTTAAAGTCACTAAATGTTCTTGATTATCAGCTTGAAGGTATTTTTGTATTACAAGTTGACAGTTGCTGGGTATAGTGGCTCATGCCTGTAATCCTAGCAACTCAGGGGGCTGAGATGGGAGGATTGCTTCAGCCCAGGAGTTTGAGAGCAGCCTGGGCAACATAGCAAAACCCCATCTCTACAAAAATAAAAAATTTGTCTGGGAATGGTGGCCCAAGTCTGTAGTCCCAGCTGTTTGGGAGGATCACTTGAATGTAGGATCACTTGAGTCTGGGAGTTCGGGGCTGCAGCTACGATCATGTCTCTGCACTCCAGCTTTGGCAACAGAGCAAGATCCCATCTCTTAGAAAAACAAAGTTGATAGTTAAAGAACATAAGTGGATGATGGCATTTGAGGCCACTGGTGAAAGTATGTTTTCTCTAAAATATTTCTCTAATAGTGATATAAATGGCTATTTTATTATGATGTTTGTATGTGTTTTGTATTTCTCTGTAAACCGTGCTCCAGTCTTTGTTTTTCTGTTACCATAATGTAAGAGAAAGTCCAGGAACAGAGACTACATCCCACGAAACTGACATTGTTAAACACACTAAAACAAAAGTACTTACCTCTTGAAGATTTAATATATAATGCTTGACATGATACATGTACATGATAAATGACCAGATGCTTATGGTCTACATTTTCCTTTATTCTGTTAGTATTACCTTCCTTAATCTTTGTTCATTAACACGCTAATTCCTCTTCAGTGTTTATTTTCTAGTGACAGAATGTTAATATTTGTTACACCCTGGCAGAAGGGAGAGAAATGTGTTTGGGGTGGATAACTAAATTTTTGAGTGAAATATCCTAAGATGAGAATGGAAGAGGGAGACACAAAAAGAGTTATAACAAAAAACAATAGTTTTTTTTAGCCATTTGACTGGCTCTTTAAATAGTCTACAAGACATTCATGTTTAACATCACTTTTAGTAAAATAAAATGTGCCGTACTACTATGTGCTTCAAAAGGGCAAATGTGCTTTAGTGCCCTAAGGCTAAATTTTGGTCATTTGACATCAGAGATGTTATAAGTATTGCACTTAATATGCGCCTATTTCTCAATAGTGTTATTTTTTGGCTAGCATTTTCTTTACCATTATCTTGTTGATAGCTTTTTGTTCTCTAAGGTTGAAACATGACAGTGCTAATCTCAAACAGATTACCCATCTGCAGAATTAAGGAAAACAATTTATGTATGAAAGACATTCTCCAATTCGTCATTCTCAACCTTTGAATTAAAGCTTAGACTAAATAGTAGTATATCGTGGGAAGGATTTTGGTTTTGTGATATTTCTGTGAATTAAGGAATAGATGTTAACCATTATTTTGTAGAAAAGTGATTTGTATGTGGTTAATTATAAATAAAACTGGTACCAGAACTTATGCTTCCTGAATTCTTACTTCAGTGATTCCACTAAATATATAAAACTTTTGTGTGTGCAGTTAATCGGGGTCCCCAGCCCCCAGGCTGCAGACCTGTACCGGTCTGTGGCTTGTTAGGAACTGGGCTCATACAGTGAGCTGCAGGCAAGCAAGCATTAGCTCTGCCTCCTATTAGATCAGCAGTGGCATTAGATTCTCATAGGAGCGTAAACTCTATTGTGAACTGCATGTGCAAGGGATCTATGTTACATGTTCCTAATGAGAATCTAATTAATGCCTGATGATCTGAGGTGGAACAGTTTCATCCTGAAACTATCCCCATACCCCTAGTCGTGGAAACTGGTCCCTGGTGCCAAAAAGGTTGGGGATCACTGCAGTGAATGATACAACTAGCAGTGCTGAAATCCCTTCATGACAACATAATTGTCTAGTTTTCCAATTAATCCACACATTTTAGCAAACACGTAATATAATGTCATTTGTCAGACTACCATCTGTAAGATTTAGAATGACATTATCTTTTGTATTTATGTCCCTGTAGTCTGAAAAGCTGAGAACCCAAATTATTGTAAATTCTTTTAGATGCAGATGATAAGTAGTATTAGGGTTTTCGAAAGGATAAAATAGAAACAAATTTAGCCACTAACTTGTCTAAATATGGATTAAAGATTGAAATTAAGTAGTAATAGCTCTTTTTCATCATTTTTAATTGAGCAGGGATTTATTTTTTAATTTTTATATCTTGTTGAGAATCTGAGGAAAGCTTTTGATCCATTCCCAAGCAAAAGGGACATAATTTATAATTTCAAAGATGTTTCCCATTTCTGAAACTCATCAGACCCGAGGTAAGAGCACTTGTAATAGGATCTCTTTTGCCATACCTGCTTAAAAATTTCAACACCCCTTTTATTATTCTAAATAACCTGATTTGTTTTTAAATAGAGACAGGCTCTGTATTAATCTGTTCTCATGCTGCTAATAAAGACATACCCGAGACCGGGTAATTTATAAGGAAAAGGAGGTTTAATGGACTCACAGTTCCATGTGGCTGAGGAGGCCTCAGAATCATGGTGGAAGGCAAAAGGCCAAGCAAGGTGGCTCATACCTGTAATCCCAGCACTTTGGGAGGCCAAGGTGGGCGGGATCACGTGAGAGCAGGAGTTTGAGACCAGCCTGGCCAACATGACAAAACCCCGTCTCTACTAAAAAATACAAAAATTAGCTGGGCTTGATGACAGGCACCTATAGTCACAGCTACTCTGGAGGCTGAGGCAGGAGAATCACTTGAACCCAGGAGACAGAGGTTGCAATGAGCTGAGATCGTGCCACTGCACTCCAGCCTGGGCAACACAGTGAGACTCCATCTCAAAAAAAAAAAAAGTCACACCTTACATGGTGGCAGGCAAGAGAGAGCATGTGCAGGGGAGCTCCCTATATAAAACCATCAGATTTGATGAGACTTATTCGCTGTCAGGAGAACAACACAGAATAGACCCACCCTCATGATTCAGTTACCTCCCACCGGGTCCCTCCTGTGACATGTGGGAATTATGGCAGCTACAATTCGAGATTTGGGTGGGGACACAGACAAACCATATTAGAGTTTCATTATTTTGCCTAGGCTGGAGTGCAGTGGCACAATCATAGCTCACTGTAAACTTGAACTCCTGGACTCAAGCCATCCTCCCACCTTAGCCTCCTAAGTAACTAGGACTACAGGCACACACCACCATTACCAGCTAATTTTTTAAAATTTTTTGTTGAAATAATACACTCCTGGCCTCAAGTTTTATTCTCCCACCTCAGCCTCCCAAAGTGCTGGGATTACATGTATAAGCCACCATGCCCAGCCTTATTCCAACTAAGGCTTTATTATTTTTTTATTTTTATTTTTATTGAGACAGAGTCTTGCTCTGTCTCCCAGGCTGGAACTCAGTGGTGAAATCTCAGCTCACTGCACCCTCCGCCTCCCGGGTTCAAGCAATTGTCCTGCTTCAGCCTCCTGAATAGCTGGGATTGTAGGCACCTGCCACTACACCCAGCTAATTTTTGTATTTTTCGTAGAGACAGTGTTTCACCATGTCAGCCAGGCTGGTCTCTTTTAACCATGTAAGGTCTTCCACGGCTGCATCCCAAGTCTGCATTAAGATTTCAGAGGCCAGCTTTCCCTATAGTAAACTTAAAACATTTCTCAGGCAGAAGCAGAATCAATTGTGAAGATATTTGAAGATCCAGAAACTACAAGGCAAATGCAGCCAACCAGGGATGGCAGGATACTGTTTGGCTACCTGGCAGACCAGCTTGGCTTTAGGCAGGAATATTTAGATTAGCTCTACAGATAGGCAAAATTCCAATATGAATGTGGGAATTACTCAGGAGCAGCAGAATATCTTTATTTTTTTAGAGTGTTGGTGAATTCTTAATTTACAGATTAGCTGTGTTTTGCTTCACTTGCAAGTGCATTGAAGGTTCCAGCAACAGATAGACAATAATTCTGTGAATTCTCCACTCCAATCTCTTCAGCAGAGAACATGGCTCTTTCACTGGTCTCTGTTTTCTTCAGTCATCCCAAAGGTCACAATAATATTATTAATCTCTTCCTTTACCAACCACAGTATCTTAATGCAATTCAGACAGTGCGTCCACACATTCCTCACTATTTGACCACAGCAGTTATAACAAAGAAGAATGCTCAAAAACTTCAGCAGGTGCTGAAAGATCTAGTCGAAGTTATTCAACAGGAGTCTTAAAGATATAAAGACCCAATTACAGAATTTATTGAATGCTTATGTGTTAACTTTGACCTTGATGGGGCTCAGATAAAGCTGAGGGAATGTGAATCAGTGTTTGTGAATGACTTCTTGGTGGCCTGTCTTGAGGATTTCACTGATAATGCCCGTCTCTTCATATCTGAGACTTTCTAGCACAGCTACCAGTATATCGGCATTAACATGTT